GCCTTCAAGAGCTTCACCGAACAATATCACGATAATATTTAGGTTGGAAGGAAAGTCCTGCAACAAAAAATTCGAAGCGTCAGCAATTTGTATCAACAGTGTGAACAAGGTAGCAAGAGTGATAAACTTGTAGGACATTCCTAGCAGTAATACGGTTAATGAATGGACAACACCCGATTCGTACCATCTCCTTCTACCAAGCACGCCAAGGGAGGTGTAGCGGCTCAAATTATCAGCAACCTATTCAATGCTAGCACTGCTCACCGATCAACGGTCAACAATCGGATGGATCGCTTTACTGGAGGAGTTACTAGCCTTCGAAGTTACGCAAGCATCGGCCCCGAATTCAATGGAGGTTGAAGGGGTCCATCCACTATGAGTTGCTAAGCGCAGACCAGATGGACACAGCTATCGGTTACCCTTATGAACTCCGAAATTTGGCTACTAACAGGGTTAGGGAAGGACGATCAAAACCGTGAATCAGGTCCCTACAGAGGGACAGCGCACGTCGAAATTTCGCTTTGAACACGCGTCAAAAGTTCCACGATTCGAAATAGTTCCAGGTTGTTCATAAGTCGTACTCCCTAAGTGTTGCCCCTTTTAACTACCATGCGCTCCGCCTTCTTGAGCATACCGTTGTGGAAAAGAAATCATAACTTAAAGTGACCTGAAAACGGCAGTCAATAACTTTTTTGAGTCACAGCATCCTCACTCCTGGATAAAAGGCATCAGTGATTTACTCAAAGGATAATAGGTTGTTGACCTCTTGGTAAATATATTTCCGAAAATTGATTGGCCCGGAAAATTTCAGAAATTATTTGAAAAAGACCTTCATTTTGTTGCAGGACTTTCCTTCACACCTGAAATGTTGCCTTCTTTCATCAGTGTTTGCTTCAGCAATTTGCGTGATTACGCCATATAACCAGTGGAGTTTCTGTGGTAGCGCACTCACGAGTGTATTTAATACAAATAATTTACTGACAACATCCGCAAACAGATCATTTTTGTAAAGCACTTCTGCAAGTAATGTTATTCTTGGTACCAGTACACCAGTATTCTTGGTATTTATGAATATTGATGCCTTTTTCGAAGTAATTCATACAAAGCCAAAATATGCGAGAGAAACTAACTTTAGGAGAGTACTCAGACCATAATCGGCGGACCTTTTCATCGACATCTGCATAGGTTACACTCATTTTCTCTGTCACAAGTTTTCCATTGAAACCTAAATGTCTTGGATATCAAAATCTGGAGGATTCAAAAATTCACTAAAAGTCATTAGAAATCAAGAGAAAGTGGAGGAACATCAGATGGATTTTAATAGTCTGATTGGATGCGCATGCCCTCTATAATAATCAAGCTCTGGTCAAACTCTATTTGGTCTTACGGTGATGAGTTTAGCCTCGAAAGGAACGTTCTGATTGAGTGGTTACACCTTTTATCAAAAGTTATAGTTTGAAAACGTCTCGTTAGCCAATAAAGAATAGAATTCTAAAGGTCCGGCAAGTCCATCCGCCGTCCCTTGATTATTGAATAGCCGATATTGGAACCAAAATTTAAGGTCTCGAAAAAATATGTTGGAGAATTTCAGTGTAGTGTCGAGTTTTCCCGTGTTAGTGTTTTTTTTTTTTGACTGGACTGCTGAAAAGCGTACGCGTACACCTCTTATCCTCGCAAAA